AGCTTCTTTTTCTACCCGCATTTTATACCGTAGCTTTACTTATATAATTAATAACGGAAGATTATATACAATAGTTTTAACGCTATTTTATATCTTATTATTATATATTATACTATTTATTCGATTTCGTAATATTATTTACGGGTACTATAATTAGTGATAAATCGGTTACAGTAATGAATTTATTGACGGAGCCTATATTAATAGTATTCAATTTATTATTTTTCTAAAAAAAAAAATTTAAAATACTAATTTAAATATTAGTAGTATTCTTAATCTCGTTCTTATCTTATCATATCCGTAATCTGATCTGAATAAGCCTTATCATATATCGATTATAATATTATTATCGATTATTTATAAGTATTTCTCATTCTTAATAGAAGGCCCCGAAATAAATTTTCATTTTCGAAATCGAATTTATATTTCACATTTTCGACGCAAAATAAATTCCCTCGTCTCTATTTTACCTTATTTCGTTAGCTATAGCTCTTATATAGGTTGACTATATTAATATATTTACTTTAATCCTTATAAACTAATCGAATTGGATTCGTAGGCCCAGAATCCACTAAATAATTAAATAAATTATCAATTCTTTTCTTATTTAAGTCTTCGATAATTTTAATAATATCAGGCTGTTCTTAGGCGTAGGGCGCGGAATAACTTCATTTATAATATATCTAGCGAATATAAGATTACTCGGTTAGATTGTTCATTTATTTAATTTAATTTAATTATTTATTATCTTCAATCTACCGCTTAAATTTATTTAATATCCTAATTATAGGCCCCCATTATTTTTATTACTCTCTTAAATGAGCGCCCTCCGATATTAGGATTAGAAATATATACATATCCGGTCTAAATTATTAAACTAACTAATTTATTATATTCGAAGCGTTTTATTATATATTAATACTCTCTATATATTATTCGTAGCGCAATAATTCTCTACTTGGTAAAGGAATACAAACCTTAATATTAGTGCCTAGGCGGGTCTATATTGCTATAGAATTTCACTAACTATTTACTTTATATAATTATAATTAAATAGTCTACGCGCAAGTAAGTAACATATAATATAACGTAACCTTATAGTGCACTAATAGCTAACTAAATATTTATAAGGCGAGATATTAAATTATAATATTTTCGTATCTTAACATTACCTCGGGTATTATTATATATCAAAATGTTTATATTATATATATTACTAATTTACCACTTCTCTAATAATTACTATATTATATACGTAATATAGAATTGTACAATACCTTCAAAAATACCCAATATTTTTCCCAAAGCACCGATATATACATTGTTTAGGAAGGCCATCATACTATTACTACTCGCTATATATTTCTAATTAGAATATATAGGGGGGGAGAATTATAATTATTACCTTTAAAGCTAAATTCGGAATTAAAACTAGGAAAGTTAATTGGAATTTAACCCTTTATCTATAATAGAATAATAAACAAACGAGTCAAAATTATTCTATACCTTTATTATTATATTTAACAATTTTGACGAATTTTAAACGCTTTTACATTCTATTCTATTTATTTATTAAATTTCTCCCTATTTACTATTTACTCCTCTATATTCTATTAATATTTTATTATATTACTTTTTTATTATATTACTTCTTTATTTTATTACTTTTTTACTATATTACCCTTTCTGCTATACTTTTAAATATAATTTATAATTATTATTTATTCCTAATTCTTCTAGTGCTAAACTTCAATTGCCTAAGCGGTTATAGGTTTAGTTTATTAATAAATTAGGACTTACGATATTAGGGACGTATTTTTTGGCGAAACTTTAATTATTTATTAAATATAAGTTTCGTATTATAGATAATTAAGTAAAAACAAACAATATTATTATTATAATATTACTAATTTATTATTTTTAATAAAAAAAAGAAATAGCTGTGTAAATAACTTAAAGAAATTAATAATAAAAAAACTATAATTACGTACTAAGTATAATACCCCTAACTTATACGCTATATTAAATTCTATTAATTAATCGAATATTTAAAGAATTTGACTATATAGTGAAAAAATAATAAAAATACTGGGTATAATAAAGAATTTAAATAATTACTATAGAAGAAGATAAAGTGTAATATAGAGAAAGAAATAGAAAAGGAAAAAGAAACAAAAAAAGAAAAGGCGTTAAAATAATTCATATTATAATACAAAGAACTCCTCTCATTTATATATCTTAAAGTACGTACTTTTTTATAAACCTAATTTATAATACCCTATATTATATTTATACTAATTCATTAAATATAAATAGAAATATCTATTCCCAACGCTAAAATAAAGAGCTTAAACGTACTTATAAATTTTACTTTAAATATATCTTTAATAAATCCTTTATTAATTATCGATTTATTATATGTCTTCTTTCTTACTATCTTAAGTAGGGCGGTAAAGGCCGGAATTATACTATTTAGTACGAATTCCACCGTTATCCGAATAAGCCTACAGAATTTACTCCTTCCTCGTTTACAATTTAAAATATATCTTAAATATATTATAAATATATTATCGGACTTTATATTTCTCTACGGAGGAACTTTAGGCGAGCGAATAAAGTTATTTCTCTACGGGAGGACTTTTATATATACGACCCGGATAAGCCTACAAAGCCTAACTTCCTCGTCTACAGCTTAAAATATATTCCAAATATATTATAAATATATTATCGGACTTTATTCGAACTACCATTATCAACTCAATATATTGAATTAACTCCGTACGAATACGTATTATAATAATTATATCAATCTTTTTCTTTTATAGGTCAGACCAATTTTATATATAAATACACAGACTATAGGGTCAGGAAGCTTTGGGTATAGGGTCGTGTCATCTAACCACTCAGCAAAAACAGAGCATGGAATCTGTGCGTACAAATGTGTAATGTATTGTGTAGAAGTACAACATAGATGTATAGCCTACAGGATACAGGGTGCACCTGCCAGCTCTAACACGGAGGCTCGGCAGGCCCCGCGGTAGGTAGGCCGCTGGGCCGCTCCTGCCAAACAGCCGCCCAAGCTGCCAGACATCCCACCTGCCGTGGCCCGGTTTCTTCTACTTCAGGGGCAATGTTACCACTGGCAGTCACGACTCTATCCGTACCGTATCTCGAGACAACGAATCCAAAACTGAAGGTTTCTCGAATGACCATGAATATTGAAACCCCTTTCTCACCTTGAGACAAACCTGATGCCTTGATCAGCACTTTGCGTTATGTGACTGTCCTTCCAGCTTCAATTTCCACACAACTTTTGTGAGGGAACATCCCTGCAACCGGCCAAAGCCTGGGAAGGTCTGGACTGCACCAAAAAGGGGTATGTACGGCCCCCGATGCGCCATCATTTGATAGCGTCAAAGTTACAATCTGGCAGCGCCAAATCCGATTGTGCTAATTCCATGGAAATCGGTAGCTGGGTAGTCAAAACAGTCCCTGGATAGACTAAACCCACTTTTCTTGGGTGTGTAGCCAATCTTTGGCTCCCAACCGCGCCCGCCAACTGAACCTCACTACATCGCAAGCCATAAACCAAGTGCATTTGCGCGCGCCCTCTTTCGTGCTGCCATTCTTTTGAGGCTATCGCCGTCTCCGTAGCTGTCGTTATCGCTGTCGTTGTTATTATCATTGTAATTTTCTCTATCGCCATGGTATCACCCCTAGCGCTAGGTATTTTTGGTGAACTGAGTTGCCCCTAGGGGGACGGATATGGAGGACGAATCTCCAGTGCCCTCCCCGGTACTTGCACGGTGGGCAGCACTTATACTAAGCCTTCATATGCAACAAATGGATTGGCCTGGGAGACAGCAAAACAGCGGCGATACTAGTATCAATAGCTCCAACTTCAAGAGTCAGTCAACTGCCCTGACTGGATTGACGAGAACTGAATAACTCCAAATAACGAAGATTTGGTGATGCGCCCTAGAACTTTTTGCACGGCTGACACAGATAGCTGCGCGCCCAAGAAAAGTGGGTTTAGTCTATCCAGGGACTGTTTTGAGTCTACCCAGCTACCGATTTCGTAATTCCATCCATCATATTCACAGGGCGCTAGGCCTAGTCCAGTCAGAGTTCGATGCTACTCTGACAAGAATACGAGCGGTAGAAGTTCAACAACCAACGAGTTTCCACTCACATCAGCGAGTTTCTCCATCGCCATAAAACCTGTCGTCTTGCGATCGAATCTTTAGTACGATGCTGCGTGACTCCGGCAAGGAGGGCTCGGGCGGCCGTTCAAACAACCTCAAAGTCACGGACGGGCGCCAAGCTGCATGGAGTTGAGTGCCATGAACCCCCGCCAACTCGATGTCTGTCGCCGCCGCCCTGCCTTTGAGATTGATCTTGGAGCGGCTCAGGCAGCCACTTTTCGGGACAGGAACCAACTGATGAAATGGAGGCCCGTGCCACATCGGTAGTGGGCGGCCTTCGGCGGCCTAGACCGCTAGGGCCTGAAGCTTCAGGGCAACGCTAGTGACGCCGGGCAACTTTAACCCCACACGCTTGCCCGATCCCCGACGACACTTCTTGGCTTCATCCGGCGACAATGATGAGGACAAGCATCATGAATGGAATTTCTAACCTGTCCTGTTTACTGTGCAGAAAATGGTTTTCAAAAGAGCCAGAGACTTTGAGAGAAGATTGCCCTTCTAGTGTACCGTTGAAGCAGCATTCGCAGAATAACTGACAGCCCCTGATGCGCCAGATAACCTCCCACGACAGCGATGGCAACGACGACGGCGACAGCGACAGCGTAAGAAGAGAAGAGCATAACTCGACCATACATACGATCGCCACAACCACCGCTCCCCGTTCTTCCTTACAAGTGATTCATCCCGAATAATTGAGCAGCACTGAGATTCCAACACCCCCAGGTTGGCCCGGCCCTTGGGTCTATATACCGGGCTAGACCGTGGTTACAACACCCGTTAGGACGAGGGCAACAATCAAAACCCACATGGACTTCTCCTTGCCGATTCCTCCATTTGTCGCGGCTGTCCAATGCGTAGTGTTGGGTGCTTTGACACAAGACAGCCAGCCAGCACTATCATGAACCTCCCCACTAGAGGAGAAGTGTGTCCAAGTTATCACCGCCGGCCAAACCACCCTCTCCATAGCCACGAGCGCCGTCGCGTTGTCCTTCCCAGTTGGAGCCGAGGCGCCCGCGAAGAAGGAATATCGGCGATTGGCCTGATCAAAGTTGCTGCTGTCGACCTCTTGAAGAAGTAGTTATGTTAGCACAGAACCAACATCAAGTCCATGGTATCTCTCGACACCAACTAGGTAACTCACCATAACCAACCCCAACGGTCCCCCCAAAATACTCCAAACAAGCATCAGGAACCACCAAACTCCCGCACTCGCTGTTTCCCTTGCCCGTCCCAACAGTGTTATTCGCAACACTATTAATCTGCAGCTCCTGAATACACTCACTCGGCAGCAAAGCAGCACAAGTTCCATCCAACCTCTTCGTCTGCGCCTCCTCCGTCTTTCCCGCCGCCAACCCGCCCGTGAACACAATCGCGCACACCCTCCAGCTTTCGGCATCCAGCCCATCCTGGGTAGAAGGAGGCACAAGCGACACAACCGTTGCTTGGGTGACTTTGCTCTTCTTGTCTTCCGCCGATATAGAGGAGTCGGATGCGTTGGCCAAGGGCACGTTGGCTGCCACGTTGATGGATATATACCAGCCTGGAATTCCATCACCCGTGGCGTCGTCCGGGCCGGCGGGTACCGAGGTGTTATAGCCTGTGGTTGGGAAAGAAGCGTTGGAGACGGGGTTGGCGATGGCGAGGGCGAAGGAGGAGGGGGGAAGGCCGAAGGGGGGGTTGGAGGGGGAGCCGGTGGTGAGGAATTGTTGGGCTGATGCCAGGGAGGGGTATGAGTAGAAGGAAAGGAGGGCCAGTGCTGCATGGCCGAGATTCGGGGATTTCCTGGCCATTTTTGCTAAACAGAGTTGGCAAAGCTTCGTCGTGATCCTGATGTTACTTGGCATCTTTCAGAGGATGCCATTGCCCGAAAGGCCTGGCGGGGACGAGGCAGAGGACAGAGGTAGGTAGGCACGAGAGAGGTGAAATGCAAGGCACACGCAAGGTTGCATAAGCCCCGTCGTGCCCGCCTGACTCTCGACGCATCTCCCCCTCTTCTTAATCCAAACCCACTTGGCAGTTCAGAACGACTTGGATGCCTTCATTTTCCGTACCCGTCGCCACCGGCCTTGAACAACGTTCAATCAGACAAATCCCGGATTGCTCCCTCTGTAATGCAGCACTCGTCAGGGCCCAAAACGTGTCAATTTCCCCTCCATGGATTGGAGGTCCGGTGCTCACACAGGTCACCACGGCAGCCGGGTTCCGTACTCCGTGCCGCAAGTGGGGCCGACGCTACTTAAGACTGAACCTCCGAGTCAGGTCCGGGTTGGGTAGGTACCGGCCCTCATTCCGGAATCTCGACCCCTGCTCCGGAACCCGAAGTGGATCCATGGAAGTCCCGGCTTTCGTTCCGAGGCCCGGGCTCAAATAGTCGACTGATTTTTCCCCCTTGTTTCTTTTTTTCCCCCTTGTTTCTTTTTTTCCCTTTTTTTTCCTCCCATATTGAGACGCATATATCCGCTTGACCAAGGAGGACCTTTGTGGTCCGGTATTTCCGTCCAACAACCCGTTAGGTAAGGAACGAGTCACGCACGGTCCGAAGTTTTGAAATCCATCATGATATGATCACTTGTGCTCTTCCTGAGTCCTCTGCATTTAAGGACACTCCGATTGTTGCGAGACGGCGGGATAACATCGCCGGTTTCGGTACCAAGACGGGACGGAAGACGCGCTTTGCAAATAACCTCTTTTTGTAGACTTGTCTCCGTTTTCTCTATCTTCGCTTTATCTTCTGTTGCAGATATCTCACTGTGATGTCATCCCTCTGCGTTTCTTGGGGGCCGGTCAGAGGTTGATGGGAATAAGGGATTCATCGGAAGTGAGGTCAGGGGAATGGATGCATATAATGACTAGACTTCGCGAAAACAGGTATCAATAACCAAATAGCGCCAGTGGTTTAGTGGTAAAATCCATCGTTGCCATCGATGGGCCCCGCGTTCGATTCGCGGCTGGCGCATTTCTTTTTCACTTTTTTACCTTCTTTTTGACTTGCCGTTGCACATTTGCTTGGGGTTGCGAAGTTAGATGCCTATTTTTTGTGTTCGACTTCATTCCTTATTCCTTGTTGCTTTCTTTCTTGTGTGGCTGTTGAGGTACACCCGCTTTGACATCCCGCTTCGTTCAACACCAACATCGGATGATAACTCCACTGTTCTTGTTCTTGATCTACCGAGCTCTCGAGTCCCGAGCTTCAGACGAACCGTTCGTTGCACATTGACATTTGATTGTTAATGCGCGCGGAGGAACGTCTAAGCGTTTTACGAACTTTTTCGTGATATCTCGGAGAATGGACAGAGAGCACATAACCATGATCACAATGAGTTAGATCTATCAAACATGGCATGGCACGAGCAACGAAAGGAATCATTAGTTCCAAGACAATAATGCAAAGAAACATCAGTGTTATTGTGACAATTGCTTCCGATTCCAGTGCTGCCGGACTTTTAATAAAGTCCAACAGCCTAGACTAGCAACCAAAGAGAGACCTCTACCAATCTAGAAACCACCACAACTGTATCCGATTGTATAGGTTTTATCGTGTCCACCATTTCTTTTTGTGTAGATTCTAAGCAGGCCCGGGAGAGAAAGAGATAGAGAGATAGAAATCGAGATGAGATGAGATGAGATGAAAGGGGAAAAAGAGCCTAAAATAAAATACAGAACTAATTATTGACATGACAAAACTTTGAAACCCCGTTTAACCCTTTTCCATACACCGTTGTTGTGACCATTATCTACCATCACCGTCGTGTCCTTATTACTGTCATCTGGTATCACATCCGTCATCTCAACAACCCTATCAGCATCAACATGCGCATCCGCGTCCACGTCCACTGCATCACCATCATCTTTACTCCTGCACCGACATGTTACGGGGAGGCCTCGCATTCGCAGCAGCCACGTAGTGACCCCACGTGATGAGCTCCTTGCTGCAATCGTCCTGGTCGATCGTGCACTCGATCAGCGTCGGGCCCTCCTTGTGGCTCTCAGCCATCTTGATCGCATCAGCGAGCTCGCCGGCCGTGTTGGCCAGCAGGCCCTTTGCGTGGCCGTCGGTGCTGTTGAAGGCCTGGACCAACAAGGCGTAGTCCCAGTTCTTGATCTTGTTGTAGGAGCCGTCGTGGATCTCGACCTCGATCGTGTAGCCGCGGTTGTTGATGAGCAAAATGGTGATGGGCACCTTGTAGCGCACCATCTGCGACACCTCCTGGGCCGTGACCTGGAAGGACCCGTCGCCGACCAGCACAATGGTGTGCCTGTCCGGGTGGCGGAGCGCGTACCCGAAGGCCGCCGGGATCGACCAGCCGATGTGGCCCCACTGCATCTCGATCTCGAACTTGGCGCCGGGGGGGAGCTTCAGCTGGATGCCGTTGAACCACGAGTCGCCCGTGTCGACGAACAGGCTCGTCTTGTCCGTCAGCATCTCCTGCACCTGCCGCGAGATCTCCTTGCGCGAGAGCGCCTCCTCGCGTTCCGCCGTGTGCACGTGCGGCGGGTCGGGCTTGAGCCGCTTGTACTCGATCATGGTGGTGTCGTTGAACGTGACCTGCGTGGCCAGGTGGCTGAGGAACTCGCTCATCCGGACGCGGCTGAAGTGTGCGCCCGGGAACGTGACATGATCCATGTCGACTGTCATGAGCGGGATGTTGGGCACGGCAGTCCATCCGACCGTGCTGTAGTCGTTGAAGACAGCGCCGACGCAAATCATTGCGTCCGCCCAGTGCACCATTGCATCAGCGGCATCGGAGCTGACTTGTCCCCAGAAGATGCCGACGAACTGCTTGTGGTCTTCCGGGAACATGCCCTTGGCCGCGGGTTGCAGGGCAACAGCACAGCCCATGGCCTCGGCGAACTGGAGGAGCTCTCTTTCGGCACCGGCACGCCCGGCTTTAGGGCCGACCAGGATCACGGGCTTGAGCTTGCCGTCGAGGTACTCGGCGGCGCACTTGGCGGCGGCCTCAAGAGCGTTCTTGTCGCTGGTGATGGGGTCCATCACGGCGCTGATGGGCCCGGGGCGCACGCAGGTAGCTCCGGCGAGATTGGTGGGGATCTCGATGTAACAGGGTTTCCGGGCGAGGATGGCGGCGCGGATGGCACGGTCGATGAGGCGGGGTGCATCTATGGCGCGGGGTACGGCCACGGCGCAGCAGGTAATCTTTTTGGCCATCTCATACTGGTAGGTGTAGTCTGGATGGCCGAGGGTATGATGAAGGATGTGATATTGACTGGGGTCATTGGTGTTGGGCGAGCCGCTGATAAGGATCAAGGGGAGGTTCTCTGCGTAGGCACTGCCGGTGCCGTTGAAGGCCGAGATGGCACCAACGCTGTAAGTGACAACGCAGGCTGATACGCCGTTGGCACGGGCATAGCCTTCGGCGGCAAGAGAGCAGTTGAGCTCGTTTGCGCAACCAACCTCTTTGAGATCTGGGTGAGCTTGTAGCTTGTCGAGAAGGATGAGGTTGTAGTCGCCGGGGACGACAAAGTGATGGCGAATGCCGACTTGGGCAAGACGCTCGGCGAGGTAGTCGCCCACGGTGAACTTTCCTGGTTGTTGTACTGCCATGATTCTCTTTAGGGTGAGATGTAGTGTTGCAAAGACTGGGGGTAGTAGTAGTAGTATCGAAGCTGTACTTGCATGACCATGAAGAAGTCGGATACACAGGATGACGGGTTGCGAGAAGCCTTTTATTGTCCCATGGTGGTTTCTGTGGTGACCACGGTGATATGATGATTAGAGACATCTCCGCGAGGACATGTCCCCGAAGACGCTCCGGGCGTCTCGCGATGGGCAAAGGGCAAGGAAGGTGTGCTGATGCATGCTGCATGATGTCGTTCGTTGCCGATGGGAGCAATGGCCAGACTGTCAGTGAGACTGTCGCCGTTGGTTTGTTGTTTACTTTCTATGGGGCTCAATGTATCGTTGCAGGGGCGATCGGAGGGCAACTCCGTCTGCACCCGCTCGAGCAGGTGGCGTGAACATTTCCGTTCTCTTACGAGGTTGTGAGATCATGCCCAGGGAATGGATACGACGTTGCACAGGCTTTGGTTTGGCCAGCCGGTGCTGGGCTCCGGTTGTCAAGTCGACAGATGAAGTGTTGAAAGAAAGATAAGCGGGTTCGGTCCGATATGCAGCGAGCGTTTGACGTTTTGATCAGACCACCGCCGCAATCCAGGCACTTACATCCAAGCCACACCCGCCTTTCCCATTGGCGGCTAGTGGGGTTGCGCCCCTGAAAAGCGGACCTTAACGGCGTCGCGACTTGGTGACAGATAGCCTCAGCTGGCCGAGACGGCACCATCCGGCGGTAAAACTTAAAAAAAAGCACGAGATTCGGATCCGTCACCCGAATGGCAGCGTGGGCTGAAAAGAAGGCGGCAAACTCATGAATGAGAGATGAGTGGGAGACAGGTCAGGTTTTGTCTCTGTTGGTCAATGCTCGGCGTTTCGACGAGCCCCGATAAGGTCGCGATAAGGTTGCAGGCACTCTGGCACTGAAGCAAGTGGAAATAATGGAAGGTGCACCTCCTTCTCCAAGGTAACTGCCCTTGGTGGTACATTCCACTCGGGTCTTTCTCTGGCTCAATTCACTTCTGGCTGCTCAACCTCATCCCGCAGACATAAGCACTCACAAGATGACGACCATGGCATTAATCGTTTTGTTGCCTTTCGGCCTGCTTCCTATATCTCCATGGCGCGCGCCGGCAGTCTGAGTGAGAGACTGTGGGTTGACCGAATCACCTCGCCGTCCTACGAACCAAAGCTGATGTCCCCAGATTGAGAACTTTGTCTGCCTTGTCTCCTCGCTTCCTCTCTATTTAGTACCTAGCGCAACAGCTTGAGGTGGATGGGTGTTGTGACAGAGTCGCTCGTTGGGAATATTTCGACATGGCGTCCACGACTGGTCAAATGGGAAGCATCCGCGTTTCAGCCCTTTGGAAGTTGGGCATTATTTTAGCACCGCCGCAGCCCAGCTATTGGCTGATCAGACGGACAAAAAATGCTAAGCCTTCATTTACGACCTGAGTGAGCTGGCAGGAAGCTGGCAAGTCGGTTCAAAGTCAAAGGCAGACCTCGAGATGAACGAACGTCCGAGTATTATATCACTACCACGGCTCTTGTTCAATCCACCAAACCAGGCGATGCATGCCCGTCCATTCTCCAACAACCTGCTCGTCTCGCTCATTCCGCTCACCTCATCGTCCTCATGGATCCATTATCGTTCACGGCTAGCCTCATTGCTATAGTAGGCCTAGCGGGAGAAGTCGCAAAGACCTGCAAAAGCTACATCAACGGCATCAAGAACCATCCGCGTGAAATCCGGCTGATTTACATCAAAGTCACCTCACTCGCTTCGATCTTGGATGGGTTGACGGTACTGCACGAAGACGACTACGAAGACGCAAAAATTCTCAGGCAACTAAAAGGACCCGATGGACCGATACAAAAATGCCAGGAAACGATCCGCGAGTTATCCGATCTTGTACACCTGAACTCGGCCTCTGCCACATCTGGGGGCAGCGGCACGAAGAGAAGACGTCTGATGTCGAAACTACCAACTCTGGAACAACTGGCGTGGCCATTCAGAAAAGACGACGCAGTATCATTATTGAAGAGGATCGCGACACACAAACACACTATCAGTGCAGCTCTCACTGCATCCCTGCAGTAGGTATACCCCCATGGATGCACGTTTACTCAAAGGCTAACTCCACGCAAAGTTCTGAAGTTCGGTCAATCAAAGCAAAGCTGGATCAAGCAGAGAAGGACAGACTACACGCTTGGCTTGTCCAGATCAACCCTTCTTCGAACCACAACACCGCAAACAGCCTCTATGAGGAGGGAACCGGTGACTGGATCTTCCGCTCTCAAGAGTGGAACCGCTGGGTAAATAAACAGTCCAAGGAACGGTCTCTTTGGATACACGGCATCCCCGGGGCAGGGAAGACCATCCTTGCCTCTCATGTCATCGAGCAACTCATCAATACCAAATGCTCGGGCAACGTGGTACTCGTCTACTATTACTGCTATCACGGCCACAACCGTGATGAAACCTTTTCATTCCTCCGATGGCTTGTCAGCCAACTCTGTCGGAAGACTGATACGGTCTCGAGTTTGACGTACGATATTTACCGAAGCGGCCAAGATCCGGACATAACCAAACTCCTCGCAGCACTTCACGCACAGCTTGACGGTTTGGACACGGTATATGTCGCGGTCGATGCCTTGGATGAAAGCCAGAGGCCGAGACATACATTCCTGGGTGTTCTCCGTACTCTGGCTACCGATCCGCGATTCCAGAAGATCCGACTCTTGACCACCAGCCGTGAATACGCCGACATCGAGCGGGTCATGGCTCCCAGCTCCCTTTCCGTACCTACTTCACATGAGGAGGTGGAGAAGGATATTCGAGTCTTTGTCGAAAGAAGCATCAGTCGAAGCGACAGTTTCAAGCATTGGCCCGACGATCTGAAGCTTGAGGTGGTTGATGCACTTGTCAAGGGAGCAAAAGGCATGTTTCGTTGGGCGGTCTGCCAGCTGGATATTCTTCGTCGTCTCAGCTGCGCAACATACGAAGACGTCAGGCAAACGATCAAAACTCTCCCCAAGGACTTGGACGAAACCTACATGAGGATCTTGAACCTTATCCCCCCAGATGATCTCGAACTTGTCCGATTCACCATCCATTGGATCATCTACACGGAAAATCTGGTCGGATGGCATGTCAGGATGAATGATGTTTCCGAAGTCGTGAGCTTCTATGTGTTGCATCGTTATGGATCCTCAGAACGGGCCAACCAAATCTCTATCCCTTGTAACCTCGACAAGCTTAAAGATTGCTGTGGTTGCCTTGTTTCGTTCGTTGGCGATCAACAGGACGAAGAGAATCCTGTCTGCAAACTCTCCCACTACACCATCAAAGAGTTCCTGAAATCCAGTCGATTCAAGCCGACAGATCAGCTTATGTGTCTTGACCTTGCAACAATGAAGACTTACCTGCCCAATGTTATTCTCCAAATGACCATTGATCGCGATGGACGCGATGCTCAGGGCCGTAAAGAACTCTTCGGTTTTTTGGTCTTTGTGAGAACCCTCTTGCTCGATGAAGAGTTCTTGGATCACAAACTGGTATTTTCTGCTTTCCTGATTGATATGCCACCAAAGGGAAAGTACAACTGTGGTGATAGAAGATTTCATGCCATGTGGGCTCTTTATGCAATTGAGTGGGTTGGGGATAGGCCGGCAGACGAAATCATTGTCTTGCTTCGTTTGTTAGCCATGGACGCCCCCCAAATCTCCCGAAATCTGCTGGTAACTGCTGGCAGTCACCTTCTTTGCTCATCCTTGAGCTTGATATGGTACGACTTTCACGTGTACGGCAGCTTAACGGACCCGATCAAAATGACATTTGAGGGCAATGTTGTTGAGTTTCTAGCGGCCTTTTTCTTCACTTCACCCCATGCACTGTTGTTTCTACTGGAAAACTACTACCACGACTTTGCGCACTCCGTGGACTTGAATGAAATCCTGCGATCATTTCAAAATGTTCGCCGAGATCTCGACTTCTTGGATGCAGAATTCCGTAGGGAGGACGATCATGAAATCTGTGCGAAAGTGGCGCAGAAGCTTCACGATCTGGGCGCGGTTGTGATGGATAAGTATACAGAGTCAGACACGGAGTCTAACGCCGGGTGAACGACAAAGCCGATGGTAGAACCAGGCGCAGAGTCTCATGACCGGCCGAAGAGGTGGCTTGATGTTGTTTTGAGAATTGAGAGTAAAGAGGTAATTGGGTCATAAGCCGCCGGTCAAAAAGTACTGTCCCTTTCCTACTGTGTATAGCGCGACACACCAAGAGGCTGGTCGATATGAGACACAAAACATGAACAGAATATGTCCGTCAAACACCTCAAGAATCTTTCTTCACTTCTCCACATCCTGCTTATTCCTTCGCACTGGTACTTCATCCGCTGACGTTGGCTTTTTCTCGTCCGAACCGCCGTTACTACCAGCTGAGCCGCGATCCGAACGGACCGTAGAGTCATTCAACGGGCGACCAACAGCGTCGTGCGTGGCATCCCACTCAGCCAACTTAGCAACCGGCACCTTGACAAGCTTGTGACTCTGCGCACCATCCTCAAGTCGCAGAACCTCCTGGCGAATGCGATAGCCACGCAGCTTCGGGATCACGGAGATCCAGAGATAGTAGTAGATGGCGCATGCGATTAAGCTGGTAACCTTTTCAGTTGACCACTCCTTTTCTGCAAACCACAGCGGCTTTTCAAGACAAAGAAACCGAAAAAATAGGACTTACATTCCGATACCTGTGACCACATAGGTCCCGTACCAAAAGCTGACATCTCCCGCGTATGCTCCTCCTGCGGGCGGATACCACGGCATGACGACCAGGTACAGCTGCACCAAGATGTTGAACACGACCACGAGGTCCCAGGCTTTGAACTCTGGGCGGGGAAGATTCAACCGAGAACGTCGGTACCGGATGACATACAAGCCGATACCCATAATCAGCTGAAAGAAAGCCGAAGGCAGTACTTGGAGATCGGTGATGAAGTTGAAGGCGTCACCGGCGGGAGGAGCAAGGATCATGAGGGTTGTCAACGCCCATTTGACGAAGTATGGCCCAAGCGGAGTGCCAAAAGGACGGGTGGAAGCCCAGAAACGTGGGAAGGGAAGCACGCCTTGCCTGTTGTCACGGAGGACCATGTGTCAGCAATCACCAAAAAACGTGAGGAACAACAGATCCTTTGAGACTCACCTGCCACACTCCCTAATCAGCCTCGACGACCCAATCAACACAGCAATCAAATTCCCAAACGAGCTCAACGCAATCAAAAAGTTTAGCCCCCTCACCGCACCGCTCGACCCAAACACCTTGGTAAAGAACAGACTAGCAGCAATCTGCTGACTCTTCACCAGCTCCTCCTTCGGCACCGCCGCAAAGTACGCCACGTTCGCCAGGATGTACAGCACCGCGACGATGAGCAGCGCAACGAAGCCGTTCCTTCGGATCTGCTTGACGGGGCTCCGGACCTCGTTGACCACGTTGAAGGCGTTCTCGAACCCGGCGTACGAGAAGATTATCTTGTACAGCGCGTTGGTGACGCCGTAGGGCGTTGCTTGACCGGAGAAGGCATCGCGGAAGTTGACACGGGGGTCGGGGATCCGGCTGGTGGAGACGTGCCCGCCTAGCACGACGAGACCGGTTATGGAGACGAAGATGAGGGTGAGGACTTTGATTATGCCGATGCCGTTGGCGAGGAGGTAGGAGAGGCGGGTGTGGAAGGAGACGACTGGGAAAGGAGCAGGATCAAATTCGGTCAGTAAAGAGAGAGTGGCGTCAATGGGCCAGCGCGGAAACGGGGAAGAGACGGGACATACACAAAGCGGCGATGGTGTAGCCGGCTACAGCTACGCCTTTGAGTTCCCAAGCTGTTGGAGAGTGGCCGTTTATCCTGAACAGGTACTGGGCAAGAACTGCGTGCCGTTCACGCCAGTCAGTCCAACCATTTCTTCCCTACCTCTACCGTATCAGGCAAGGAACAACCAGAACACTTACCAATAGCATTACTGCTACTAAACGACAGCGCAACCGACTGAAACGCAAACGCCGTCGGGAACAGCCATCTGGGTCTCGGGTACGCCTGTTCCAGATACACCACCTCCGACCCCGATCGGTTCGGGAAGTACGCCGCATACTCAAGATACACCGAGAGATTCGCAACCGACGTCAGGAAGCCGAGAGCCCAGAAGACCATGGACAGGCCCACGGATCCGGTACCTCGGAGAATGTTGGAAGCTGTATAACCGTTGCCCCCCAAAACAAGAGCGAGAAGGACGCAATTAACACCAGCCCATGATTGTACGGACAGAAAAAGAATAAGATGATGATGCGGCAGGTGAAGGGAGGGGCTGCTCACGAGTCGAATACACGCCCGTACCAATCATCTTGCCGATGTTCAGCATGATGATGGACAATGGGCCGACGGAGTATCCCAGGGGGGAGTTGACCTCGACCGGCGCGCCCGTGGCTTCTTGGTAGGCTGTCGGGGAGTCGTTGCCGCCTTTTTCGACGGTGTATTGGAGACTGCCGTCGCTGACGGTGCCACCATCGCCGTCGAAGGACCCATTGGATCGATAGTAGTGGGATTCGCTGTTGGCAAGATTCTGATCGCCTTGCCGGCGAGTGAATGGTCGTCGCCAGTTGAAGGACATTGGGGTGTCTGGATGTGTACTATATTGGAACAAGTGCAGAGAAAGACTTGGGGGCGGTGTTGTGTTACGGGAAGATAAGGAAGATAAAACGGGAAACCTGTTGCTATTTTCGAAAGGCAACATCAGATCGATCATCACGATCATATATGAATCCCGGCACTTCCAACAATCCATTCCTTGCTTCTTCTTCTCACCCCACGCTCTAGATCCCCTTCACACGCCTTCTCTTCCCCAAGCATTCTCGAGGCGTCGAGTGGTGATGGTCGAGTGTCTTCGCTCGTGATAGCTGGTTGATATTGCATTTACCTTGGCGGCCGCTTGTATGGACTGTATGGACGGCAATATCGACTGCAATTATTGCATCACACATCTAGCGTGTCTCACGCGGCTCACGCCTGCCAGACGAGGAAGGTCAGCACCTGCAGAGTCGCAGTGAGAGACATGGCCAAGGATAGCGGCCGACAGCCAAAGGTGGTAGAGGCAACGCTCGTCATCTTGCCTCATCGCTCCACCATTGGCATGTTATTGGTGTCGTTGCAGCACGCTAAGCTCTCGTTGATCGTCGTGCTTTGGAGATAGGGGTTCGAATTGATGGTACCATCATGGTGCAAATGGTGCTATAGGAGCAGGAAGCTAGGATAAAAGAAAAAAAAAGAGAAAATGTGGCCCGCACCGGACTCGAACCGGCAACTTCCAGTTTACTTGGTAACAGCTCACGAAGAGCTCTCTCGCATTACTCCCGGATGTGCCAACGAACCACGGGAGATGCCGCTGGTAAGTTGTGTTATTTACCCTAGTGGTAGTAAAGATGGGATGAAAGGATCAAAGGGCCCCCACGTTTTGGAAACAGTGTGGCTTGATGGTGACATTAAAGGCGAGTTTGTTCGTCTTCAGGTGCAAAAGCCACATGTGCTTGTGCACTTCCACGATGTACAAGGCATAGCCCGCACGTTTAGCAACAATCCAATCCTCGTAGTTGAAGAGTTCGGCTCGAAGAATCTCGTGCCACTCAGGGATCTCGTTACATCACACACACACCCCAACTACCGCTAGGTACTTAACCAGGGCATCCAACTCACCTATAGATGTAGCTACACTCATGATCAACGCATCTCAACCTCCAGTCCCCCATCAATACCCTCCCCCACCCTGCGTCCCCACGCTCTCCCCCCTACTCGCGCTCCTAATCCTCGGCTCAAGCGGAAACACCTCCTTCTCCGGGCTCACACCTCCATACACGCGCTCCCACCGTTCCCTCAACACCTCCGGCGTCTCCCACGCATGCTCCGGATCTCTCAACCACAACCTAACCAAATGCCTCTGCTTCTCCCCGTCCTCCTCCGGGTCATCCCTAAACCCGGCCCTAGCATGGAACACACTCAAATTATTAACAAACTGCACATCCCCCTTTCTAAAATCCAGTGCAACCGCGTACTTCTCCGCAGTAAAATGCAGCGCATCCAACGCCTCCGCCTGCGCCTCCGTAATGGGCGGGATATCCGCCGAGCGCGGCAAGCCCCAGTACCCCGTGAAGGTGCGGCGGGCGTATTGGATGATGAGCCGTTCCGGCTTTTCCGCCTTGCCCTCGGTACTAGAAGACCCAGAAGCAGCAGGCTGGTAGTGCAACAACGGCCTAACACTAAACTTCCTCCCCTCCTTCCCAAACTCATCCGCCACCCACTTATCCTCCGCCAGCGTGCGAATCAGATCCGGTCGAGTAGCCGCCAGCTCGTTGTACACCTGCCAACTACTAGACAGGTAACTCTGCCCGCCCTCGGCCGCCTCGCCAAGACAAAAAAGGGCGACGATGTCGCCTGCGTCCGTGTGGAAGACTTGTTTCTCGGTGGTGTAGGCGGGCGCGCCGATTTTGTTGATGTCCGAGACGGTGGGGGTCAGGTCTTTGATGTGTGCGAGGACTACGTCGGCTGGCTGGCCCAAGTGTGTGTTGTCTTGTCGTCCGCGGAGGGGGGCGACGTGCGAGGAGAGGCCGGCGTAGATGATGATGTTTTCCTCGCGCGTGTGGGCGGTGACGGGGAGGCCGCGGAGGACTTTGAAGCCGTGGCCGTGGTGGAGCTCGTGGGAGAGGGAGCGGAGGGTGTGGTGGAGGTGGGGGAGGGGGAAGGTTTCTTGGGTGATGTAGCCTAGGGGTTTGTTGAGGCCTGTGGTGGGTGAAGGTTAGTTGATGGGATGCTCAAGGACTGATGGGGAGAACAAGTTCTTGGGGGCTGGCTGGATGTACTCTTGAAATGACGAAGTGCGGACTCGATTTCGTTGATGTCCTCTTCTGTCAGTCTGTAGTTCCAGTCGTAAGTCTCGGCAAGGTTGTTGCCGTCCCACACCAGGTCCGAGTCTAGTCTTTGGGGGAAACCAGGCGGGAGAGACTGCTCGAGTTTTTCGGTTTCCCGTCGTCTTTTGACTCTTTCGAGGTACTTGTCATGGTCAGGAGTGTACCCAATATCTGGTTGTCCGACTGGGCCAGGGGCCGAAACTTGGACCGCTGCCGTGGCCATGCTGCTTTGACTGGAGGCTTGATCCGGAGAAGTTGAGATGTTGGAGCCGTTTGAAGCGGCTTTGCTTGGGAGCTTTGGGGGTGTCGAGCGAGTTTACACTTCGTGCTTCTCATCCGCATCTGAGGAGAACATTTGTATTTTTATTATATCGCGGTGAAAAGGTGAATGAAGACCTCATGCTTGTGTTATATGGCGTGATAGTGTGATGGTGGGTGACTTGCCGCGCGGAGGAGCGGGGGAGTTGCATCTCACCCGCGCAATGCATTTCTCAAATGTCGCCATACCATCTTCGATACCACAAATCGGGGTGTTGCTTCAAGCGCCAATCATTCTCACTTTACCTCATGGATATCATTGACTGTATATCTTTGGTGTTGGTCAATCTATGGTCGAGTAATTTGAGACACTTCCAATTATCCCGGCGAGACAAGGCAAAAGGCATACGAAAGAACTTGTTCAGGCTTAGTATGCAACACCTGAATTAATTTGCAATGGCAAATTGGATAAGCTGATGAAGTTGACGACGATTGGCCAATGAAGAAAAAAACGAGAAAAAAAGAACAACTTTCCCCTCGACCGGAATCGAGCCGGTGACCTTTCGGTATACAATCTCGCAATTACAGCCGAACGTGATATCCAACTACACCACAAGGGGATTACTTGTTGCTATTGTTGGATTTTGCGGGCCAGAAGCTGCATCTAAAAACCAAAGTGGATTTCGTAGATGTGAGGGCTTTTTGCACACAGTACGAACCAGAACGAGAAGGTTTCCGGAAATGGTGGTCCACACGCCGAACTGCTTCTTGCCAGTGGCAGGTGGGACCCCCATAAAAGCATGGCAGCTGGTTTGAGGCCGTCACGAGATTAAGGGGTAAGTAAACAAAGGATTACAAACTTGCTCCGGCAGAGTATGGCAGCGATTCACAATGGACAGAGCGTGATGTGTGGGTTATACTGCAGTTTGGATTTGAATGACTAGGAGCATAGGAGACACACCCTAAAAGTTGCTCGTGCAACCTTTCCTAGTCCACCCCAAGCTCTTGGTCCAGGATAGTGAAGACTTTGGGGTGTTGTGGCGGAAGCTTCATCCCGGAAACAACCCCGAATAAGTGTTTTGCAGAATCGAAAACAAGGGAAAGGGGGAGAGTTCCCGCTGGCCAGGCGAGAACAAAGATGCCCCCCTGAAAAAAAAAAAAAAAAAAAAAAAAAAAAAAAAAAAAGATGAATGAACATTGAACGGAAATGAAACAAAAGACCAAGAGCTCATCAACCTCCACATTCCCCACCCCTTGCCTGTCTGTTCGGCGACCGGCGTCCGCCCGCGTCCTTCCGCTCCTTCCCTGACCACCACCACCCGTCCCGTTCCTTCCTTCAGCTCCAGCATCAACCACCTCACTCCACTCACTTTCTCCCTTGCTCTGGCACCCCAGCCGAGTCCACCAGCGTCAAAGTCCCGCCTCTCTCACAGTCTCCGTCCCCGTCCTCCAATCCCCCATACCTAGTAGACTCCAGAGCTACCTATCTAGAAGATTCCTCAAACCCAATCCCAACTCCCCTGCAACACCCCCGCACTCGTGCTCGCCAGCGCCGAGAAAGCCGCAGGACTTAAATCCAATCCACCGTACGGGCACCCCGCGCACCGATCAACCAGCGTGACCGTGACGCTCCTGCCGTTGGCATTCACTCTGATCCGGCGGCCGCAGAGCGAGTTGCGGTTGGGATTGCCGTTGGGCGTGGACGGGTCGAACTGTGCGGCGTTGAGGACCACCACCAGCTGACCGTCATTCGAAGAAATGCCGCAGGCGCCGAGGCCGGTGTTGTACCAGGTTATGCGGGAGGAGAAGGACCGGGTGGTGAGGTCCTCCGGGGAGGAGGGGGAGGAGGAGGAGGCTTCGGGCTCGCCGATGATGACAGCACCGGGAGCCGCAGCCGGGGCGGCGGTGGTGAAGCCGATGGGGAGGAGGAAGAGGGAGAGGGTTCTGGTGAGGATGGTTTGGAAGAGCATTTTGAGTTTTTGACTGCTTGACTGCTTGAAGGTGGGTTTGGTATGGGCTTGCTGGTGGTCAAGTGGCTCTTCTGGGCTTGAGGAACTGCAGGCTGGACTTGGCTCTGGAAGTGAGTGCCTGTGTCTGAAGATGGAGTTGAGAGACTCTGGGTGAGGTTATCATGATGGCTTTATACCCATTTTAAGAGCACTTCGACTTCAACTCGTTGACATTGTCTTTACCTGAGAGAATGTAGTGCAGTGTAGATGTCTTGAGGTTGCAAAGTCCAAGCCACCAAACAGTTCGTCGACGCCGGACGGCACAAGATGAGGGGAAGAAGAAAGAGTTGTTCAACCATCATCACCAACGAGCCGCTCAAATATCGACTATTGACTGCGGGTCGAACATTTCCCCGAAGCTTTACATTGTCTAATAGCACGGCTGAGAGAGGACTCCGGCTAGCTTTGAGCGCCGTTGAGAAGTTGGATATTGAGGAGAGGGGAGTGTTCCGATCACATTCCTTTCCCCGGATTCGAGAGCAATCCATGCTCGCTCACATGGGTGTTTTGTATGCATCGCCAGAGCTCTTGGACCGCGGCACGGGTAGCCAGCCAGTGCGGGAGGTAGCTGATAAGCTTAAGTGATGGAACAAAAGCGGAATGTTTGCATCTCGTGCTTTGATCACCAGCACTGTGGACGATGTAAGTTTCCAAGTTACACCAAGATGAGCGGCAGCAAAGGATGCCTGTTAATCTAAAAGACTTTCCTTTTTGATGGCCATAGTGTGAACGTCTAGAATAACAAGGCGGAATTGGGAGGCCTGCTGCTCAATCTGTTTGGAGTGTTCATCGAGGAAGAAAAAGGGGGCAAACTATAAGCCATGTGGCTTGAAGTGTATATACAGAGGAGCGGGGAAATTTTCATCAGCATCAAGTAATACAGTACCTGACCAGGAGCGGGAACTATCAAAGACTGGACATGATGAGGAGCTTGTGCATGATAGCAGGTAATGTTGGCATCAACCGCCTTGGTGACTAGAAACTGTAGAGGCAGGAGCAGGTAAGAGCTAGAGAAGAGCAACTAGATGGTGTGGAAGTGTGCCCCAGACCTGATTCACAAATACAATGACTGATCATGGTCAACAAACAGGGAAAGTTCCTCTTCGGTGAACAAGTGCGGATCTCTTGATCAGGATTAAGTTGCAAATCTCTCTCATGAAACACACCTCATACTACAACCTCACAATCATCACCCAGCCCGCATCAACTCTTCCTTTGTTCAAGGCGCATAGTCCCATGCCCCAGCTTCCATTGCTTAAGCTTTCTGAGCCCAACCAAGCGTGCCGCCCTTGGCATTCCAAACCGTGTAATACGCCTTGATCAAGGGACTCCCAAATACCCACGCTGGACGTCCCTCAACTGGTTCATAAAAGGGAGGATCCGAGTGAGAAAATGCCGCCTGACACAACTCCCTTCTTGCCAGGATACTCACCCAAGTTGAACGCACTCTTTGGCATAGTCACTTCAACCAGCTCGCCTCCGGTTTCCGTCCCAATAGTGAACGTAATGTCCGTCGCCACCTTATCCAGCGTAGCACAACTGGCACCCCACGATCCCCTATCATCGAGGGGGACGATGCCTTTGGAGATGTCTAAGTAGAGATCCTCAGCAGTTTGTCGGTCAGGAGTCAACATGTAAGCGGTCCCCGAGTCGATGAGGGAGGCCCCCGGCGTGAGTGGCTTGTTGTCGTTGGTTGAGTTGCGCCATACTTGCTTGTTATTTCCAGAGCCAATGTAGGCAGCTTTTACGTCTACTATGAACGTACCCGAGAGAGCGGTGAGCGTTTCATCGACGTTGACGTTCTTGATGCGGCCGCGATAGCGCGCACAGTCGGCGCCCCCGATGGAGGCTTCGGGGCCGCGCTGTTGGTGTTTCTTACCACCAGACCCGAGGGCAAGGCCAACGATTCTGTTTGGGAGCTGTCCCTCACTGACGAGGTTGGGGAGAAGGGGAAGATAGGTAAAGTTACCGTTTTCATCCCAAGCCGAGATGTCATTGAAACCAATGCCGAGGATTCCGTCGGCGAGTTGGGAGGACAGGGCCTCGCCGTAACTATGGCAAAGCATGAACTCCTGTTTGGGGGCAGAAAGACCCTGTATCGAGACGGTGTCGGTGACGACTTCACATTCTGCCCGGCCGGTTTGGTTGAGCGGGACAGTGTCTGCACCAGTGCCGTACTCGATGGGTTGAAAAAGTGCAGGTTGGGGCGAAAATGAGGTGGATTTGGATGGGTCAAAAAATGAGTGTTTACCGCAGTTGGTGCAGTTGCTACGAGGGAGAATAAGAGCGGTTGATCCAGTGTCCAAGACTACTTTGCTATTAGTGGTGACGTTAGCTTCGTTCCCTGGTTTTGCATAGGGGTGCTGTGTTAACTTACAACGTCTGAGGAGGGGTGCCGACCGTGATGGTTGCCAGCCATTGGAGTTCGGTTTTTCCGTTATTCCTCGAGTCGACTTCCAACGGTACTCTTTCGAGGCTTTTCTTCCCGGTCTCTTGTCGACGGTCTAAAGAGCGATGCTCTAGACCTCTCTCGAGATGGCCAGTGAATGGCTGGTTAGGACGGAAAGCCGTTGCGCTTGTGAATAGCAAACCGGCTATAAGTGTCGTCATGGACTTCATGATGGTGGAATGGAAGGATGGTATCGATACAGAAAGTGTGAGTAAAGGTGGGATGGGGAAGATGATGACCTGATGAAAGAGTCAAGCAAGATGTGTGTGCCGTTTGTATTTCTTCGCCTCAAGACTCCATGGTCTCGATGCAACCGAGAGCTTGATGTTGACCAGACGGGGCAGAAATGCGGAACCAGCGGAACCATGGGTATTGCCAATCGTGAAGCTTGTCACGTCGTGTTGGTGATTCAAGCGGCCACGGCTTGAGGCTACTGGCTAAGCCATGGCAACGGCCAGGTTGACTTTAGGTATGAAGCAGCATGCACCCTGGCGGCGGTGTCGGTACGCGTGGAGCTGCCTTCCCTACCGTTAGTGAATAGTATTGACCATGGTACCCACGCTTGAAGGCTCGGTTCCGGACGGGAGTTAAGATAACATGGCCTTCAGCTGTCGTTGCAGTGTATGACTCCAGAAACAGACGGCCACGCAAGCAGGAAGAAGACCTTGCTGTTGGTCCGAACTGCGCCGTCAGAATAAGCACGCTTAGGCGTCCTGTCAGATCTGGAAATACTTGGGAAAGGGTTGGCTGGGAAAGCTTGTTTGGGAATATCGTCTGCTGTCAATTTGCAGGTGAGACAGGGAAGAACTGAACGGAGCAAGACCCGCCAGTTGCAAGGTAGTCGAGCAGGTGAGGTCCAACTCTTCGCTATTTGACAAGAGAATTGTATCGGATGAAGCTTCCGGCCAGGTCAGTCTGGCCCTCGGAGATCCGATGGACACGAATGATCCAGATCAGTGAACATGGAAATGGAAGGCGATGAGAGGGAATTTGACCGAGTGAAAACCGCACTTTCCTTACCTCGGCCCAACCCAAGGTCTAGGCTTGGAAAGATTGAACACCGCAAAGGAGATAGAGGAAGTCATCATGGTGGGCCGTGACGATCTCCATCGATCCGAACTTTGAAGCATCTACCCGAACAGTTTGGCTCAGTGCTGCCTTCCATTTTGGTGGCAATGGCGGACCACAGAGGTTCTCGATCATTCAAACACCGCAAGCGCTCTTGCCATCTTGACCAAGTCACGGTCATACTGTCACACAACTCCCCCACGGCAATTACAACTCACCGGTCGTACCTGCTTGGTCGGAAACAAGGTGAGGACCTCGACACCGAGAATGGCAGGTCCGGCCGGTGAGAAAGAAGCCTTAAGAGCAAGCCATCGGCTTGGAAGTTCAAAACCCGGGTCCGTGAACTTCGTATCTTGCATTGCTCGGTACCGAGCCTGAATCTAAACGAACACCAGGTGAGCTGTGAGCAAGACGGAAACATGATCATGGACTTTTACCTCTACTGGTGTGTGCTGCTTCTTGCCAGCTTCACATCCGCCTTCGTAGGCCAGAATCTGAAGTTGGGCAACCAGAACCCGCCATCGTAAGTTGCTGCCCTCTGCGTCCGAACCCCAAAAGAATGCCGGGTCAGTCATCAACTAACAGAAACTTCGAGTAGGCTGGCCAACCTCGCTCCTCCGGTCCTCACATCGACCATAACCGTGACCCCAACCGTCACTCCCACATCCTTGGTCCAAAACATCTTGCCAACCACCATCACCGTCACCTCAGGCGTCAGCAACATTATCCCCAACATCCCATCCACCTCAGCCGGCACTCAACAACAACCTCCTTCCCACGGACCCCCGTCTCCCGTTCAAAACGCCCTACCCATCCCTTACAACTGCGCCAGCCCCGTGCCGGGCCTTTCCCCTCAGGACTGCACCTACCTTTCCACCATCGGCATCATCTCGCAGGGACAAAACGCCCTTTCGGCCGCCTCAGGGACCGCAGGCATCTACCTCGGCTCCACAGGGCCCAACACCTTCTCTTTCATCAACGGGGCCTCGGTGCCGCTGATCCTGGTAGTGTGGTACAACCCCGTAGAGGACGCACAATCCTCGTTCATGGACGCGCGCACGCCCAAGATCACGTACTCGCTCCCCGCGCAGGGCAGCGCGGTGGTGGTGTCGATTGATAACGGCGTGCCCGGCGGCTGGTCGACACTGTACAACTACACGACGACGCTGACGGAGTACGGGCAGGTGAACAACACGTTTGGCGAGTTCAACACGGGCTCGTTCGCCACGACGGACGTGAGCCGGCTGGTGAATATGCAAGGTCATCCGATGACGGTGGTGGTCAGGGGAAGCGGGTGTCGGTCGGATATGCAGACTTGTGTGTATATGTGCGCTGAGCAGGGCGCGATTACCTGCGGGAGGGAGAGGAGTTATAGGCTGGAGAATTGCCAGGGACAGCCGGGGGCGGTGGTAAGTAATGACGCGGATGGGAATCCGTCGGGTGGGTGTCAGGGTTGGAGTTTTGGGGGGCATGTGGATGTTATTTTCACTTGATGTGGTGCACAGAGCTGAGGCCGGCGGAAGAGGAACGAGATAGGGGAAAGGACTGTGAGAGGTTAGACGAAGCTTTATGCCATGTAAGATGGGGGGGAAAGGTATCGACGTTTATGATCGCAGACTTGTTGGCGGGTTGGCATGATGTCTCGTACTTAGAGAAACGATGATTTACCGTGCCAGATGGACATGTGCAAAGTAGACCGCAGCTGTCAGACATGCATAGCGCATACCCGTTACGGTCCCTGCATGCGTGTCTTGCACCCTTCCACCATATGAACCCGAACGACGTCCATCACCTCCATTGTACCTCACCCCAACTCAAAGGCTGAACTCCAGCCTATTACCCGCAAAGTCCCTCGCAAAGAATCTCGTGGGATACTCGACCCCCTGGGCACCTACCGACTCGACCGTTAGCAAACAAAACAACCACCTCCTTCCCTCCCTCCCTCTCAACCCAGTAACCCCCTACACCCATACCCTCACCCCCCTCGATCCTAAAAAGGAAAAGAAAAAAGGAAAAAAAAGAAACTCACCACTCTCCACACTCCCCGGCTCATCACACTGCATCGGCGCCCCCTCCCCACCCCTCTTATAATGCTCCCAAATCCTCTCCTGCAACTCCCTCAACTTCTCCGCGTTTTCGCCTCGGAAACAAGGGTGTCTCTTCGCCTGCCGGGCTTCGGGCGTGAAATCGACATCTGGGCGACCAATTGCCACATGGAGTTGTTGACCTGAGGAGGAAATGTCGAACCAAGCCAGTGTCCCGGCTTGTAAGGAAGGGACGGGGCGGGAGGTTAGAGATAGGGTGGTGCCGTAGAAGAGGGTGGCATGGTGGAGGGTGGAGGGGGGGACGAGGATGTTTACCTGTTGATGGGATGTCAGATGGGGGATGTTGATGTTTTGGGTGGGTGAGTTGGTGGGTGAGTGAAGGGTTGTGCGTAGATAGGGGTTGAAGGCTGGGTGGGGGTTGGGGGTGTAAATGAAGTGTTACTTAGGGAGATGGGATCGGATGGGGATGAGGAGACGAACGTGATGGAGCCCGGTAATCATGATGGTTGGATGTCTTGAAGGTGGTTGTCTCTGGCAGGTGTGAGGGTTATTGTTAGGACTGGAGTCAAGGATAGAATGAACGGTGGAAAATATTTCTGTGGAAGCACACCAACAAAAGTGAAGTGATGATGATGGTGATGATGATGGATAAAGGTCTCCGGTTACGGCTCGACGTTTGGACGGAGTCACACTGCGGGGTCACTCATCAGGGACATTCGTGACGCCATTGGAGAGACCTGCGCCGTTGCTTTAATTCTGCACTAAGATAATGCACGATGATGCACTACCTAGTAGTGAGTATCACAGTGTTGGAGTTTCGATGGCCTCGCAGAAAAAGAAATTTCGGCCAAGGTGTAGAGTCGGCATCAGGTTGAGAAGACATGCGAAAGATGTGTTTGTATAACCACCTGAGGTTCGGAAACAAAGGCTCCTTGGACTGTTCTGAAATTTCTAGCTACATTGTTAACCGTTTTTGGGGTTATACTACCGGTACCTATTAGTGAGCTATCGCCATTAGTTCTAGTAGAAATGAAAGATGCCTATGGGATAGGCAGTATAGCGTAAAACATTAGTAACGAAGACAAGCAGAATGGGTGGGCATATCACAGACTTTTCCTTCCCTCTTTTCGCTTTGCCCAGATCAATAATACGTTCGTCATCACACATGCTTCGTTGCACAAGGCCACATTACCTCCATGACGGACCTTTACGTCCTCTACTGGACAATAGGTGTCTTGCCCAGTGTCTTCAAGTCGGCGCCTTTGCCACCGTACTCAGCGGGGAGCTTGTCGCCCAACCCGTCGACCTTGGTGTTGACAAACTCCTTTGCAAGATTTGTGCCGCTGGACAAGGGATGGAACTTCTTCAACGTCTTTTTGGAGACAAACATCTTCATGACGCCATAGAAGAAGCCCATGATGGCGGGGATGTTGACGAAGAACTTTTCCTTGAGCAGCTCGGGGTAGTTGTCGCCCAACACCGTGATAGTCTCTTTGCTGGCCGCCTTGGCCACGTCGGTTTGGCGCAGGAAGCTGATGCCCTTGTAATCATGGACCTGGGTCATCTTGTAAGGGTCGTAGTCGGCCGTGATGGGCTTGATGGCACCCCCAATGTTGACTTCCACGAGACCAAGCTCCATGAGGGCAACACGCCACTCCACAAACCTTTCGGGCACCAAGCGTGAGCGACATGACAAGCGTAAAGCAGACAGCAGGGATGGAGAAGTGGCACTGGACTTACTCTTGAAGGTTGCCAAAGGTCTCGTCGAGAGACTTGACACTGCCATAGAGGTTCCAAGTGAAAACCTCCTTTTGCTCCGGCTCGTCGACAGCAGGCTCGTCGCCGGCTGTGTAGGTGGTGACGTAGCCCAGGCCATCAAACTTAGCCTTGGAAAACATCTTCCTGACCAGCTGCTGAGGCTGTGTCTTTTGGCGCCAGTCGAGCGTCTTGAGCAGCTGATCCTTGGCCTTTTCGACTTGCCCATCGTTGGCATTCAGGAATTTCTGGAAAATGATCTGGGTCGGGATGTGTCTCTCGGGGTCGGAGAGGGGGACGCCCCAAATCTCAAAATGGGGATGGCCCTCGGCGGCCTTCCACAACTGGGCGAGGGGAGAAAGCTGAGTCGCAGTTGTCGACACGGATCTCTTAATATCAGCGGGATAGTCGTGGGCGGGGGCCGGAGGTGACACCGATCTCGCATCCCCCTCAATATCAGCGGGATAGTCGGTGACTTGGGCCGCGACAGGTTGGAGCTTGGTGGTTTCGTCTGTAGTTGCGGCGGGAACGGTGGATTTGGCAGCATCGGGTTCGGATTCGGTGGCAGTCGATGCAGGCGGAACGGACGCGATCTCATCGTTTTTGTTGTTGTCGGCGTCAATGCTAGCGGCAGCCGGAGCGGCTCCAGGCTTCGCACCGTCCGAGGTTTCGGTGCTCATCGTGCTTGCGGATGGGATCGAGATTGATGACGTCGAGCTATCGTCGAATGGCGATGCTGGCCAGAACCTCTTTTGACTGTTGAGAGGTGTCGACGGGACACCGAGACTCGAGAGCGCGCCAAACCTCGTCGCGTAATTAAGGTTTGTGTGCTTCTGTTTGATGAATGATGTTTGAAGGGGCAAGATTGGGGGTTGTCGTTGGACGAAACAGATAGGCAACAACCTGGAAGGAAAGGAGAAAAAACGTGGTCCAGGTGTCAGATTCAAGGGTGGTTTTAGCCATACCATATGGAGGTTAGCGCTCTAGCCACCTGATATTGCCTGATTTCTGGGTATATTTGGGTTACCCCAGTACCCCTCATACCTTCTAGGTGAATCAGTTATACACACTCTTCAATTAATTAATCCTATACTGTTACATTTGATAATTAATAGTTTGATTTGCGTATTTACGTTTAATACTATAATTATCAATTATAAGTAATATCCCTATGAAATTAATAACGTTAGCTATATTCTTATTAAAGGAATCTACTAATAAGGCTATTATAGTTATTTTTAATACCCTTACCAATTAGCCTAATTAGTATAAAACTCTTAAGAGATGTGTTAGTAGTAATTAGCATTTTAGTAATTAGCTACTAAAGGAGGACTTATAATTTAAAGGGTTCTACCCCCGAAGCTGGAAGATTTCTTCTTTATTAAGTAAGTAAAGAACCGCCTCCTAGTAGTAAAAAAGGAGTTCGTTAGATTTAATAGAAGAATCCAGGTTAAGAAGGCCGTAATTACAACCGTAATAATTACTATTACTATAATTATTAATACGAACAGTACTATTACCAAAATTACTACTACTACCTAATTTTAAGAAGAAGCCGCCGTTGGCGTTAACGAAAATGATAAGGAAGGAAGTTTAGGAAAAGAAGACGAAGAAGAAGAAGAGGAGGATAATAAATACTATATTGAGTAGAATATTAGGAAAAAAATAATTATTAACCCTTCTACCGATTTAATAATTATTAAGAAAGTAGCGTACGATTAAATTAATAATATATATAATATTTGCTACAAATATTAGAAAAACTTCGATAATATTAGTACCCGAATTTGTGATTGGATAAATACCTATATCGCCGCCTACTATATTAGTACTTTATTTAAATAGGATAAATTTATTTGCGATTAATTTAGAGAAATTAAAAATTAAATTCATTATCAACCCATCGACTAAATCGCTAAAACTCGTCAAAATTATTAAGCTTTTATTAAAGAAATTATAAAGAAGTAACCTAAGGACTTTAAAAAGTAGCTATCCGATTAAAAAATGTTTATTATAAACGGAAAAAGATTTGGAATTAATAAAGTAATTTCTTCTGTTTTATAGTTTACCGATTTTGTTAATATAGTTTATAAATATAAATCTATTTAAACTAGTAATTCTTAGAAATTCAATAATAAATTTAAAAAGATGTCCTTAAAATATAAGGACGTATCCGCTAATTTTAGTATGGTTAATATGATAGCACGTATTATATTATTAATTAATTTTAAAAAGGTTATAATTTATAAGAATTCGCGTTTAATAAAGAGGATGCTCCTAATTTTAATTATAAAAAGAAGCGGAAGGTAAATATAAGGAAAAAATATAATACGGATAAAAATATAAAAGATTCTTTATAGCCGAAAAAGAGAGAATGCACTATATTACTTTATAGAGTTTGCGAACGAAGCCTTTATTTAATAATACGTTATTAATATTTAGTATTTAAAATTAGGAATAATTTTAAATAGAAGTTAAGCGGCCCTACTTAGAAGCTTATTAATAAGAATTTCGAAAAGTATTTTAAAATTAATAAAGAGGTTAAAAAGGTTAGGAATTAAATGTAGGACCGCTTTATTACCTTTACGTAAATTATTATTTCGAAAAATTAAAGAAGGCAAGAAATTGGTATTTACGATTTAGTACTTTTTATTAAATAAAGTGCTTTCAATACGAGTAGTAGTAAGAGTAAAGTTTATTTACTTAAGAATTTTGGAATTTTCGATTCCAGGGCTTTTATTTATATTTTTAATAAAATTAATTATTTCTGTTCATTTTGAGTAATGTCTTTAAAGCATTGCGTTTGGGCTAGTGAATTTTAAATACTTATTAAGGGTTTTAGGATTATTAATATAGAAATATAGGGATAGAAGGGAATTTTAAGGTTATAATTAAAAGAGGTAGCCTTCTACTTTAATTTTATTATAAATTTTATATTATTATATTGATTTCGAAAGTTAGGTTTTTATTAGGATTATAAACCCCTTAATAATTATTTCTATTAGTTAGACGGTTTATTCTTTTATTTCCTTTAAAACATTTATTATTAGAGAGTCTTCGAATATTTACCCTTTTCTTTTAATTATACTACTTTCTTTATTCGTAGAAATTGCTTTAATTGCTTTATTAGCCGTCGTATATATAAGATACATGTTAAATTTTAGTATAAGCGATTCGGTTATTACGGTCTTTAAATCTTCGAATATTTTTATAATGTTAAAGGCGCTAAATTTAAAGGGCCCGCTACTTATTAATACGATACGTATAGTATTTCAAAGATTAAATAATAAATTAAACGAAAATTACAAAATAGGGGATTTGGCCCGGGAGAGTGTTTCGCCGTTAATTTGTTCGAATATAAAGTAGGGAGAGGTAATTTCAAATATATTATATTTATTACCTATCGATAGATTGGATTCGTTTAGGATATTTATATAGCGAATTGAATAATTAAGGCTATTGTTGAAGGATTCTTTTCAGTTATTAATACGATTAATTACTAGTATAATATTAAAATTAAATACGTTGAATGCGATAACGAATTTAATAGCTAATACGTTAGGGATAAGTTAATTATACGCTTTATTATTTTCGAATCCTTAGTGTAAGGGCATAGTATGGGAGGGTCGAAGGCAAAGCTAAGATTCCATCTATGACAGAAGATTTCAGATGGGGAGGAGAAAAGAGGAAGAGAACTAGATACAAGCGTGCAGACCCAAATAAATACCCTGGTCGCACAAGCGATAGCGGGACCCACATGTGGGTCGCTGACTGCCAGCGCCATCACACTTAGTATTTAATATTTAAATTTAAAATAGTAGTATTGGGCGCTTAAGGGGTATAATTAAAGAAAAGGCGCGTATAATAATAAATAGTGATAAATTCCCTTATGATTTCTAGTTTTAAATCGTTTTAGCCTCGGTTTATTTTATTAATCGATTACTTAAATATTTCTATAATTGGAAGTTACTATACGAGCGGTTTTATATTTTTGTAGCTTATTATAAAGGGGTGTAAACTGAACCCTGCAAGCTGTGACGGCTGGCACCACCAGTCGTCATGGATTCCATTCACGGGTGGCTTCCATTCACGGGTTTGGTTCAGATGGTTTAGGTTCTGGGCTTGGCCTGGCTCCCTCCCAGAGTTCAGGGTATAAAACCCAGTCCTTCCCATTTAGCCTTCCCTTTTGGGGTTTCCTTCTTTCCTCAACTTCTTGTCTTTAGTCCAAGTTAGCCATTAGGGTAGTACAGTCCTTGCACCCATACCCATCCCTGGCCACGCGTGACACAAGCTTAATTTTAATTATCTACGTGTTTACGGCTATAAAGTATATATAATAATAAGTATTGTATAGAAGAAAGAATAATAGTATAAGAAGTTTTAATTAAAGGCTTAAATTGAATTTTTTATTAGTTACGCTGTTTCCTCTATTTATTAAATTTAGAACCTGTAAATTAATTATATTGCTTATATTTGTAATATACTTTTTAATGAAGATTTAATTTATTTAAGGAATTTTAATAATTCTAAAGAAGTATTAAAATTAGTTAGCGACGAAATTACTCATTTATTTAATTAAATTAATTAACTTCCTTAGGAGGGATAGCTCAGTTAGGAAGATCTGGGCTTAGTTTCCTTCAGTTTTATCCGAAAGGTCGTGGGTTCGAATCCTGCTCCCCTCTCTTCTATCTGGTCTTAGTTTTTTGGGTTCTCCCAAGACCGACCTCGGAATTTTTCCCCTACCCGAAGTACGTGGCTAAACTTATAGGGCTCTCCCTAGTCTAAAACCCTGGGATAAAGCGATTTAGTGCTTGAAAATCTCTTCCTCGACGGGGCTCCGCTGCTCCTCTACCGCAAAGGTAAATTTTAAATCGAATTCTCTACCCCTCGAAAAGCAATCACCTCGTCCAATAACACAACAACTATCCGCCCAATCAGCGCACGATTCCCTAATAGTAAGCAAGGTTACGTTTGCCCTTCGCCTCCGCTAACTGGAGCCTTCAAGCTGACTAGAAAAAAAGTACGATAACGAAATTCGTAAGACCCTTCTACCCTCCCCCTCCCCAAAGCAGTGCCCTAATGATAAGACGTATTTGGTTAATAATAAGGACCGAGGGTGGGGGTAGAGGGGCTAAGAAGAATTGGAGGAAATCAGAAGGAAGGCTTGGGATTGAACGAAGATAAATATTAGATGTAAAGACGCGGGAGGTTTTTATCTGGTATTCAGCGGCGGATATACGGTTTTTCCGTCCGGCTTTGAACGACGAAGGACCGCATGCATAAATAGGTGACTAGTTAAAAATTAGATAGTTAAGCGTAAATAAAATTATTATTATTATTATTATTAACTTCCTTAATTATTTACGCGATATTTCGAGCCCTTCAATATAACCTAAGATATAGAAAATAACGGTCTTACCTCTCTCTTACCATTACTCTTCGATAATAATTTTAAGAAGATAATACGAGATTGTTTCGAAATTAATAGAATCTACTATTTAAAATAAAATATTTATCGATTTTATATTTGGCTACCCCACCCCGCTAAATATATTACTAATTATTTTTATTACCGGCCTTATAATAGATTTATTAAAATTTATCTCTTTCCTAACCTTCGAACTATAGGAAATTGTATTTAATATTAGGAGGTTTATTTAATTAATTAGGTAACGGTAAG